CTTCATAGACTAGAGTAACAGTTAGACAGAGTCACAGGCTTTCATATTAAGCTATGTTGGTTACAAATATGTTTCAGAATTGTATTAGTATTTCCGCACTTTGATTTATATCATCCAGACTTTCGGTATATCAGCATGTGTTAGTTTATCTTCTAAATTCAATATGTTATGATACCACATGTTGATTCAACTAGCCAGTTGGTTCGCTCGGTCACATGTAGTCAGGCACCGAGTGTCGTGTTACGTCCAGGTCCAGGTTCGGGGAGTGACAAAGCTTGGTATCAGAGCCCTAGGTTCAAGTGTCCTAGGGAGTCTATGAAGCCGTGTCCAGTGGAGTTTCCTTTATATGTGTGTGCCGGCCACTCATATAAACGGTTAACTACCAAGACATCCAGGATTGTCTCATTTCTTTCTACTCTAGATCATGCCACGAATCTTAGAGCAATAGATAACCTTTTCTTTCTATCAAATTCCAAATGTATTGGATGCCCAAGCGACGCGCAGGAGAAACCTAAAGTCCTAGAGAGGATAATTTCACATTGAGGTATAATTATGGAGTACAGGTTGGTAAATACGAGACTTTAGAGGATGTAAAAAGTGGGATGCAATGGATAGTGTTACAGATTAGAGCATAACCTTATTAGAAAGTAAAAAAGCAGTTATCGTGTCTTATGGTTATCAGTTTACCTTAGTTACCAGTTATACAGTCTTTCAGTAATTTCTCAGTTAGCAAGTTTATGGTTATTCAGTACTCCAGTATTCAGTTATATGTTTACTAAATATCCGATTTCCAGTGTATCAAAATTTTTGGAGACTTGTGAGTATACAGTGATGCATATGGATGCTCAAAGAGAATGTAAGTAACAATGATTATAGCAAAATCTTCGCATGTTTTAGGGATTAAGACCCAAGACTTACAGGATGGTACATAAAGTGATTTACCGTATGTCATCCCCCACGGTGTATTAGGATAATGATTCAACTGCAGCGGGCATAGAATTGATCACTATAGCTTTGGACAGAAAAGAGCCTAAGGGTAAAATACCTAGGAGTCAGAAACGTTTGTTATTACCAAAGATGTGATTCATACAATTCATGCAAATGACTAGAAGATATGATGTATGAAATGATAACCAAGAGCAGCCAATAGTGAATTTCAGGGAATGATTTTAAGTTGTTTATATTTATTCAAATCAGAACTAGAAAGTACCATGTTAGTAAATTTATATACGAAGTGGCTATTATTGTGAGATAAATGATATGACAGTTCCCCTTGATGTGACTATGTGTTTAGGTTGGAGGTTTATAATCTGATATGATTTTGAAGTGTATAGAAAGTTTGGGGTTAGATATTCCAATTTTGTTTAAGACAGATGAACTTTCCCTAAGTGTGATCCATGTGCATAGTTCAAAAAGAATGATAGTGCATGACAAAATAATATGGTCAGATGATGAGGGAAGTTAGGAGTAACCTTATGTTTCACTTTAGTTATTCAAAGTAGAACATGAACACATGACGCTAGCAGGTAGTTAGTAATAAAATAGTGAGTATGATTGAGTAGATACAGTGAATTAGCACTTTCAACAGAGCTAGTAGAGGTACCATTTGATTCACTTAGCCAGGTTAACTCTAGTGAGTGGATGACAGTTTGAAATACCGAACGTGTGTTAGAACCCAAAGAGTTTAAGTTAAATTCGAAGTACAGTAGCAGTGGGGAAAAAAATATTAGCTAGAAGTGAGAGCACAAACTATAGAAGAATAGCCTTTAGGAATTATCGTAATGTGGTTTCTCCATGATTGACAGTGTAAGCAGAGTTAAATTATTAAGATTGTATATGATAGCTGTGAATACATTAGCTTTCTGTTAAGTGAATAATTTAATTTTTCCTAGTAAGAAAGAATTCTCAGAAGTAAGTTGGAAGATGAGTCGGCATTGACGTAGAGTACAAAGAATTGCAGAGAATAAGGAAAGTTGTTTGGATCCCAGCAAAATGAGAAGGATCCACAAGTATAAGACCTGTGGTCTAAGGGGTGATGTGAAAATTTTCAATAAGTCCAGTTGGAGATCTGAAACTCGAATAGTAGCATGGGATATGAAAAAGAAAATCAATTCGGTAATGAGGGAAAATTGTATAATTACCACACGGATTATGTCTAGCAAGTGTAAGAAAAACAAAGTGAGTAGAATGATCACCGAGTTTAGTTATTGATGATAAAATGATCACAGAAAGCTATAGAATCATGCCCAGTTATGTATCATGAGGGTAGTGCCATTGCACGAGACTCTAGTCTTCGGAGTACTGGTTAAAGACTTAGCTCACAACAATTCTATAAGTGTTTTCAGGAAGTTCTTAAGAAGATAAAGTGTGGGAAGTATAACTCATGATTGCGGTAGATAAGAGAACTTTGGTAAAAGAAGTTCACCAGCCAAGATAGGAGTTCGACTTCGGACTCTAAAAGATGACAGAGTTGTTGTCTAGAATATGATTTGTTCCCCCTTAGTAGGCGAAGTGAAGGTGAAATAGTTTGATGATCCCTACTTGTTGTAGCTGAAAGAGGAGATTCACAAGTATAAGATGATGGCTTTCGAATAAGGGGGAGATGATGGTACTTTCAGGTACCAAGATTGTGTGTTCCAGACATAGATGGACTTAAAAAGGGAAGATCATGTTAGAAGCTTATAATTCCTGGTATTATTTCTATCCAGGTCTCCCAGAAATGCATCATTACCAAGGAGATTGATTAGATGAACTACATGAAAAAGAACGTCGCACACTTGCGGCCAATTATCTTAATTCTCAGCAAGTGAAAGTCGAGCAGCAGAAAGCCTAGTGTTTTATCACAGAATACACATATTTTGCATGGAGATGGTAAATATGAAATTTATAAATGGGATTATCTTTCTCATTTTAAAAGCATGATTTGATTGGATGATTGTAAATCGACTTACCAAGTCAGCATATTTCTTGCCAGTAAAGACTACAGATTCAACAGAAGATTATACCAAGTTATACATTCAGGAAATTGTCTAATTACATGAGACTCTGTGGTCCGTCATTTGGGACTGTGGTGCTCAGTTTAAAATGAACTTTTAGAAGTTCTTTCAGAAATGATTAGACATACGTTTTTCATCCTAAAAAAAAAGATGGCCAGGCAGAGCGCATTGCTCATTTAATTGAGGATATTTCCTTGATGTTAAAAGTAATTGGGATGATCACATACCTCCTATTGAGTTTGCTTATAATAACCTACCATTCTAGTATCAAGATGGCACCGTACAAAGCTATGTGTGGGGGAAGGTGTAGATCACCAATTGGTTGGTTCGAAGTTGGAGAAGTGGAGTTATTAGGACCTTATTTGGTCTATCAGACTATAGAGAAAGTTAAGTTGATTCAAGAGCGTTTGAAGAAAACTCAGAGCCACCAAATTTGTCCTATTCGAGCGTGCGACATAGAGACCTAGAGTTTCAAGTTGATGATTAGGTGTTTTTGAAAGGTTCACCTATAAAAGGCATTATGAGATTTAAGAAGAAGGGAAAGCATAGTCCCTACTATATTGGGCAATATAGAATCTTGCAAAGGATAGGTCCATTAGCTTATGAGTTGGAGTTGCCACCAGAATTAGTGGTGGTACAACCAGTATTTCGCGTGTAACGTTATAATATTCAAGTTTCCAGCACTCAAATACTCATGTCAGTTCAGTACTCAGATACTTATGGCAGTTCAATACTCAGATATTCAAGTCTGTTCAATACTCAGCTACTCATGTCAATCCAATACTTAGAGATTCATGCTAGCTTAGTACTTTGATATTGATGTTAGTTAAATTCTCAAATATTCGTGCCAGTTCAATATTCAGATATTCATGTTAGTTCAGTATTCACGTATTCATGGCAGATCAATATTTAGTCAATGCAGTTCAGTACAGTATCTCAACAGGTCAGTAATCATGTATTCATAATATTCCAGTATTCTCATATCTCCATAACACCCATTTAATGACCATAGATAGTCGTAGTTGCAGCCAGGACCATCATTCGAGGACGAATGATCCCAAGGGGAAAATAATGTAATACCCCGTAATTTGAATCGGTTGTGGATGCATTAAACGAGTATTAGTGTGATGGTAATTGAGTGGTTATGATAATAAGTGTACGAGGCATATTATAGGTGATTTGGGGTCTAAGGAGAGGCTTAAATCCAAGCCAAGTTGAAAATTTTCATTATAGCTGAAAATTTGCAAATGAGTATGCACAAGACCTCACTTTGAGCGAGCATATCTACCTGGATACAGTGAGTTGTGTGATGCACAACCTATCAAATTAAATCTCTTTGAGTCTAGTTTCCAACGCAACAAACGTTCGTTATTTGGAGGTGTATACAGAAAGTTATGACAATTTTACTGGGCAGGTGTCACCAGCGCGAACAAGAGCACGAAGTCTCGCACGAAGTCGCGCGTTTTTGCTGAGTATTCTGCCTCCAGCGCGCGAGCTCGCGCGTCTGGAAGGTTTTAAATATCTTAAAGACCGGAAATAAGAGAAATTGAGTCATTTCTCAAGCTTAGGGCTTCCTCTACACCCCCAACTCAACCAAGGCATCCAATTGCACACCTAAGGTGAGTTTTTAAGTGTGTTATCGTGGTGATTTCACTTCTCAATCACTAGTTACAACATGATTTTGATTGGGTTTCAGAGGATTTCTTCAAAATCTCAAGAATACCCCAAAAGTTGTCTTTCAAAATTTGGTCTACAAGAGGTNTTGACAGTTCTTTTGTTCAGCTATTTTACATACCAGTACAATTCAAATGTACTGACGTCCCTTTTGCCCGGGGCCTGCATCTCGCGATGCAGGTAATGATTTACAGGTTGATGATTCAGAGCGCTAGGATTCTCGTACCAGCTATTTGGTGATCCCCAATTCTTTCAGGGCATTATCATTGCTATAGTCTTCAGTATTCACATACAGTCAGTGTTTTCAATACTCAAATAGAGGCTTCA